TTTTTGACCCAGTGTAAAAGCACCAGAATCTCCCCAGATGGCACAGTTGTGTATAGGAATGCAGTTGTACGGATAATTTTATAAATCCATTCTTCCAGCCACAGCGATAGTAAGAGGAAACAATTACGGAAAAAGTGTCATTACTTCGTGAAGTTAATAAAAGATCTACAAACCCTTTGCTTCCAGTTGGAAGCACGTTTGTCTTAAAATGGATTATGTCCCTTGTTTTCTTCTTCTTAAGACTCAAAAGACTGAGCAGCTTTATCACGTTCGCCAAGACACATATGGAAATTATATAGCCAAAAAGTCATTGGCTGTTTGAGAAGCAAATACTCTGCTTTTAGCTCACGGATTCAACCTTGTCATGCCGAGAGATCTATCAGTAATAAGCTCTTGGAATACCACACCAAACTTAGAGGTAGCAGTGAATTTCGGAGGTGAAACTCGAAGCCAACCAAATCGATGCGTGTTGTGGATATTCCCCGGCAACAGTGAGTGCGGTGCTCTTGCACTTTTTCTGTCATTCTCTATGATAATGATTACTCCCTGTTTAAAACAGTTATTGCCTGAATTGCGAGCACAACCGGATTTTTTATCCTTAAATCACGACAATTTTTGTATTTATGACATTCTTGGATGGAAATTGATCTGGGCGAGAACGCAACTGGTGTGTTGTGCTGTTACTGTCACTCTGAATAATCAGCCAAATGATTCCTACGTTTTTTACCGAGGCTGCATCAATACTTCAAAGTCATAGCACAAGAGAAAACACCTTCATTCAGTAAATTTACTCATTTTTCTTACCTAAACCCCGAAAAATGTAGAAAACCTACCACTTTTTAACACTCGCATAATTCCAAAAGATTGAAGGAATTTAATAAAAACCTGATGGTAAAGTAAAGGTATTTTATACTTCATTATTACAACCTCGACTGCAATCCAATTAAGGTGATTGAAAGCTAAAAAAGTAATATATGATTGTATTATTTTTCACTTATGGGCATTTTAGTAGTTATACTTATATTGATGTACGATCCGCATGTTGAGATCCAGTGCCATCAATAAAAATCAGTTAACACAAACCTTTCAAAAGAGATAATTGCAATACTGCACAATTTATGTCCAGGACGATTTCGCCGCATTTCAAAATAGTTTATTTGTTTTACTGTTTTGTTTTACTCTGTTGTCTTGATAAAGACTGAAATAAACATTGCAACTTCTGCAGTCTGTTGAGATACAGCAAAATCATCCTGTGGTATTGCAATATGGTCCGTTAATTTAAAATTAATCTCGGGAAAGGCTTGCCTCAGTTAATACAAAAATGTCAAAGGTGAGATGAAACAAACGAAAAAAATATTATTATTATTACTCACCATGTATTGGGTAACAAAACAGTCAGAAGGGGGTTAGCAACTATATAACTGTTTACCCCCAACGCACACACACATGTACTGTGTCCCAAACCCTTCACTTTCCGTTATTCACTGTCACTTTAGCACCTTGTTTTTTCTTCGGCCAATAATTTATATTTATGATCATAGTTGGTAACCATTTTAAAGCGTTGACTCTCAAAGGTAATAAAAATATTTTTTTGAATTTTTATGCATGCTGGTCTTAGACAAAAGCTGAATACAAGAACAACACCGGAGAATATATTTTTCCTGAAGAAAGGGATCGCTCGAAGATATAATCATCCTGAAGCTAATGCACGGAGTGATAGACCAGCCCCCATTAGCAAAACATTGGAAAATTCGGCACCACGCCGTCAAGTCCTGGTGCCGGAACTGAACTTAAATGAACTTTGCTCATTCGTGAATAATGAATCATTTCCTCACCGGACGCATGCCACAGATACACTTTGGTTTTAATCCAACCACAGAGCACTCCTCAGACGGAGGAACCGAGCTTGGAAATGATACCGTTCGACATGAGGGGGTTACTAGTGCCACCGCGAAAACCGAAGTCATCTCACACCGCACAAGAGAGACAACCGTCGAGGATCAAAAACGATAACGGCCATCCCAGAAACCCTGAACGACGGCATCTTAGTTGACTCAGAGGAGAGGAAGGCGGAGTTACTGGCTGCATATTACCACACTGTGTGTGATGATGACAGAAAATACCACTCTACTGGTCCCAACTAGCACAATTTCCATGCATCTGGAAGAGATAACACAAGAGGAGGTATTTGTGGCTGTAAAATCAATCAAAACCCATCAGTTTCCTAGACCGGATGCTGTTCATCCTTTGGTGGTCAAAGAACTCGCCGAGGCATTGATACCCCCAGCTACATTCGTGTTCATTACGTCCGTGGCACAGGGCAAACTGCCTCAGGAATGGAAGAAGGCAATCGTAGTTTCACAAAGGTCAACGGAAAGAGGATTCCTGAAACTACTGACCGGTCAGCCAGACCTCTGTGTCGGATAAAACTTTGGAGCGTCTCATAGGCAATAGAATCCATCAGCATCTGGTAACCAACGGTCTTTTGTGCAAATAGAAACACGGATTTCACAAGCGCAGATCTTACTTGTCAAACCTGCTGTTGGCACAGGAACATTGGTTGCAGAATAAAGCAAGAAAATTATTTTTTGATTTCAGCAAAGCCCTTGAAAAAGTCTCAAATGATCATTTAGTGAGGACCCTTGTTATCGGAGACTCATCAAGCTGTTGGATATCAGATTTTTTGAGGGTGAATATTCTGTGTCCAAGTTTCTCAGGCGAAATCACGCTGGCGATGGTGACCTGGGAGACCCATATTCAAACCCCTCCACCACCACCCATCGTCCCGGCCAGCTTTTGTATGGCTGCGGCCCCCTTCCTGAATGTTGACCGCATATTTTTATATTCAATAAATGAAAAATTAAGCAAAAAACAGTTTTTGGTACGAGGCTTCTAGTGGCGTCACGCAAGGCCCAGTTCTAGGCCCTACACAAACGACTTTCCCGCTTCCTTACAATCCCAATGTCTAATTTACGCGGATGATTTCAACCTGTGGCGGGCAGTGGCCTCAGATGACGAAATCCGTCTTATAAAAGAAGATTTGACATCTCTGGAGCGATAGTCTCTGCCAAATAACACCTCAGATGTGCGCACATGCTGGTGGGCCAAACAGCGTGCACCGTGGAGTACACCATACACGGCAACCCTCTTCGCTCATCCACTTGCGAAAAGGATTTGGAGGTAATCGTGGCTTCCAACCTAAAAACCAGTAACCACGTCGATAGAGTATGTGGGTCAGCTTAATGAAAAATGAGAGCCATTCGACGGTCTTCCGGTGGACTTTCCCTGAGTGCATTCAAAGGTTTGTACACCTCTCCTGTACTACCGAAAGTGGAATACGGCGGTCCTGCATCGTTTCTATGCCTAAAGGCCGAAAAATGTAAACTGAAACAGATACAGCGCAGTACCAAACGTCTTGTGGCTGGGATGCTTGGGATTAACCACGAAGGATGCTTGTAGGCAATAGGATTGTCTCCATCAGCTTACAGGTGGACGAGAATAAATTAACTCCACAAGAGACTCCGAGGAGACCTGGGCTGCGAACTGCAGGCGATGATTCCGCTTCGAGGGCAGGCAATAACTCTGGCGGAACGGCACGCGAAGGACTACCGTTGGTTTACCGCCTTTCCCGACGGGGGACTAACATGTAGAATATGCTACCGGAAGACGTGGCGGAAGAGATGAATGACAAAATGTTGAAGCGTCAGCTAGACGACTTCCTGGGGAGTCATGCTACCGAATTGTAGCAAGCAGACTCATACAGGACTACGCCCAGTGTCTTTAGAAGAAGAGCGATTCATCACCCAATGATTGGATTGGGTGGAGCTCTAAATGATAAATTTAGTAATTCAAATCTACTCTTACTTTTGTTCAAATTAATAAATGTTTATTTAACTTACAGTTACGCATGTGTATACACATGCATATATGTGAATCCACACATTTTGAATTTCCACCCTCAACTCAAAATTCTATCTGCCCAGGCAGCACGGGTGTACAGTCAAGAGTCACCGTTGAGTCACCAGGAGGCAGGTCATTGAAATACAGATTTTTATGAGTTAACCATTCCAAAATCGGATTCTATGCGTAAAATGACTTGAGAAATTTTCAATTTTTTCTATTCCTCTTTGCGTATCGCAGAGAAACAAAGTTAATTTTATGAAAAAACTACTTTTCAATATGCTATTTTACATCAGTTCCGAAGTTAAATGCGAAGTGTTTTGCCAAAATGTTGTATTTTAATTACTCCTGCATGTTTAAGTTTTGATAGAATGATCATTGATGAATTTCATTATGCTGTACTGCGAGAACAAAAGAGCAATGGGTGTTAACTGGTAGGTGTTAGTGAACAGCGTCATAAAGAAAAATTTTCGGTTCATAAAGTAAGTTTATGTGTTAAAGTGAATGTCGTAATAGACACAGTAGCTTTTCGGAATTTTTCATTAGTGAATCATTGTAAGCATAGGTAGGATTAAATGAACTGCACATTTGATAACTTTTGCATAGGCAGCGAAGTACCTATACAAAAACACGATAATTCGGAGCGAATTGTTATTAGTTACTTTTATTCAGTGGCCAAGTGCTTAAATCGGTATGAGTTGATAGTTGAAATATGGCTACCAATTTATATATATCACGAGCCTGTTCAAAAGGGTACGCAACGGTGGCCGTCGACGACTCTCAGGTGACCCAACGGTGACTGTCGTACTAGTTGGGTGGGCTTTCCCTTTATATATGGAGTGAATGAAATGTAGTGAATGACCAATGACGTTCGTACGTACGGTGCACAAGCAGAAAAATAAAATACATTTTGGAGTGAGTTTCACGTGTAAACAAATGCTCAAGGGCGTTAGAAGGGGAATTTATACTTCACTATAATGTTAACAGTATAGTATTTAAAATACCTATATATAGATATTATTAGATATTATTATATAGATTATTACAAATACACATAATCCGTAATGTGGAACAACACTTTCATGTTAGGATTCACTAACCTCCATTTTCTGGCATCATTGAACGTAGTTTTCCACTGAGGTTCTCGACGCAAAAGCGGAGAACATCTTTCGGTTGGGCCTTCAAAACATCGTAGGATAATGATTCTAAAATATCTTGAAATCCTTCTGGAATATGTGGCGCCTTCTTGGACATTGTTCAAGGAATCTGTATTACTATGAATTACGACATTGATCGATGCAACTGCCAGTAACTTTCCCTTTTGAGCGCGGTAGTAAAATATCTCGTTTGAAAGTGACACTCAAAGTGACTTTGGTTGCTGTATTCCCAATAAAGTAAAACAAATTAAAAGTTAAGGTCAGTTTGCACAGGACAAACATAGCTCTAACCATTTAAGCGTCCAATTCGTCGAATTTTCGGTTGATGGGGGTAGCTTCCAACACTGCGTATAGATTCTTTGGTATTTGTGATTCTTTCAATTTAGCCGCATTTTCAGAAGTCTTGAAGTATTACACGGGTGCGAGGCTAAGCCTAATGGTCCCGGATTTTAGTGTTTTTCAAGCTTTGTTCTTTTCTTGCGTACCGGTTTTCTGGGTACGGTCAAGGCTGCAATGTGGCGGAGGTTGGATATTTAGAGTAAATCCGCAAGAAGGTTACCTGGAATGGGATGAAGTGTTTGTATGCAGTGCAACACGTTGTAAAATTCGGGGGAAAATTGCGGAACATGAATAACTCTGTAGTGCTTCTTCAACCGATAGGTTCGCAACGGCAGTTTTCTGCTGATGGTGTGGTACCCAGCTATTGGCTTTTCTAAAAACGACGGAGTTTCAAGAGTATTATAGAAATATTGATGTCAAATTCAGATTTTGCTTTCGGCTGATTCTGAGTGATTAGCTCAAATTTCAATTGTTTTATTTAATCTGAAGGACTTTGTCCGTAAAGTATAAACAGTGCAACCTAATGAGGTCGATCTCTTGCACAATCATGCTAACAACGCCTCACGTTGACCATAATTTCGTTTTGAACAAATTGTAAAAAATTGGTATGGATTACTGAACGGATTCTTTGAATACTCACGTGAATTCCAAAGGGTTATCTGCACATTCTTGTACATTTGTGCATCAATGGCAGTCGAATAACTGACACGAGAGAAAGTTTGTTTGCAAACTGGCGCTGCCTGAGGGTTTCTGTACTATTTTATAGAATATTACTATGTACATCATAAAAGGCGCGGTGCACCTGTAATAAGGTGATTGTGGCTCTCATTTCTGATGCATTAAACCTGTTTTAGACTGCCGAATATCGGTTGTTCAGCATTCGTTGGAATTCGTGCAGTCGGGAGGGAGAAACGTGTGATGAAACGCTGTCTGATGCACAAAAGTGACTTCCACGTGGATCAGCGGGATTTGTATATAAATAGTCGTCGCCACACGTTTGATACGATCTCGCTTTGCTACTGCATTTATTTCCTTGCATTGTTTAGCGTCACATCGGTACGTTTTCGGTAATATATAGTACTACGATACGATAATAAACGGCTACGATCGCACGAGTGTTTCTGTATACCTCAGGCAACCAGACACTAGGAGGTCGAGCGCCATTTGAGATCCGAAAGATGATTTATCGGCAGACCATAAAAGTCGATTAGCTTTAGACCGTTCTTCTCTACTGGAAACAATCAAGTGTACCGTTGAGATTTAGTACTTATCGCCAATGTTTGGCGGTATCTGGAGGCAGCTTCTTCATTAGGTCAAGCACCTTGGACACTGTTGTGTTTCGTCTATGCGTACGAATGGCACGAGCGACTCTTGCTTA